TTAACTTGTCAAGGTATCGTGATGACTTGTGCAAACTCCATTCTAACTTGTCAATGTATTATGATGACTTGTGCAAATGCCATGTTAACTTGTCAAATTATCATGATGACTTGTGCAGACAACATGTTAATTTGTCAAAGAATCGTGATGACTTGTGCAAAACACATGTTAACTTGTTAAGGTATTATGAGCATGTCATTACGATAATTCGACAAGTTAACATGCTGTTTGCACATGAAATCGTGACAAGTTAACATGTCGTTTGCACAAGTCATCATTACATTTTGACAAGTTACCATGTCATTTGCACAAGTCTTCATTATACTTTGACAAGTAAACATGTCGTTTGCCAAGTCATCACGATACTTTGACAAGTTAACATGTTGTCTGCACATGTCATGATGATTATTTGACAAGTTAACATGCTGTTTGAACAAGTCAGCATTGTCTTTAGACAAGATATGATGTAAATTGCACATGTTTTTGTGCTTAAATGACAAAATAATATCATAATTTCACAAGATAGCAAAAGCATTTATAAGATAAAGACAGTCATGGCGTTCAATATTCTTTACCGTTTAGAGTCGCCAATTACATGCCAAAGTTAAACAATTTTTGTCATACGACGAATGTAGTGTGTTAATAGACGCACCGTATTACCGGCGCCAGTGATGCAGATCACTGCAGTGATGGCAGATAGCTGAAATTTTCCGCTCGGTACAGATAGGTTATAAATGGTTGGTATTGTTATATTACACAAATACGACCCATTTCATTGCTATGAAACTATTTTCAATTGACTGGAGATTACTATTAGGTAATTTTGGACTCGTTGTTTCCTGTTTTAGACTATTTTGAGCGGGTTAAAAGTGACAGCATCGGAAAATCCCTGAAAATTTCTGTTTTTTGTTCCGATGGGAAAAAATGCTGCCGTTGTAGGCAGATACTTATTTTAAATGCTGCCGTCGTTCTAGCTGCGTCCTAGGACAATATGATGGAAGTATTTTCATACAGTGCGGTCTTTTCATGGTGATGCATGAATATATCAGACAACAAAATAAACATTTATTCTACTGTCAATATATTAAGTGAAAAATGGCCGTTTTCAATGAAAAGCCTCCTGTTACAAGTTCAAACTGCTATATGAAACTATGAAAAATGCTTCAATACTGATGAAACTTGACACAAATGTTGACTAGACCATAGCCTATGTAGCAACATTCTTAATCGTAAAATTCCTGTTACCATGGCAACGAAAGGCGTCTCATTATTGCGAAAAAAAATACTATCTGCATTTTTTTTTCTTTTTATTTCATCAAAACTGATTTCTAAGTGCTGCAACTTCTGAGATAGAGTGAAAGACTTTTCAGCGTCGGTTACTAGCTTCCCTAAGGTCGATCTGAGGACATTTTTAGCCTGTCACATGTCAAAATTTTTCTTGGCGATGAGGGATACTACCCCCCCCCCCCCATTCAAACCCCCAAAAGAAAAGGGGGCACATCCCCCTTCTGGCAACCTCCTGTTGTATCATTTTGATGGGGCGGCGCCGAAAAAGTTGTCAATTTTTTAACAGCATTTCTCAAACGAAAAACAGTGTTTGGGGCTTAAATATGGCATTTTTGCACTGTTTGAGGCCTCAAAAAAAGGGGGGCAAAAAGACGTCAAAACACGTCTATATTTGAGGTAAAAAGTTAATAAACTTATATAGCGCAAAGCCTTATGCTAAAAATTAATTTACTTCTCTAAAATGAAAAACTTCTATTTTGAGACAAGCGAGCAAATATTGTGTAACGGCAATATATGTGAAACCTTGCCGCAAGAGGTCGTTCTCACATTAATATTATAGGTACTATACCGGTATTTTAGAACAAAGGCAATTTCTTTCAGTATAGTTCTTGAAATTATCACACCCGATTTAGCGCGAAAAAGTTTCTTTGTCAATTTTAAGAGTTCTATTGATCGTTCTGCCGAAATTCATTTTCAATATCAATAAACTTTCATGGCACTGCCAGACGTTTCACGCGTGACTTTTACTGTCAGCCAAACTTTTGTCAAAATTACTCATATGAATAAATAAAACCTTGTCCTACTGCAAATTTTAGACATCAATATAACAGTAAAATAAAAAAGAACTGAAAGTTTTAGACATCAAAATAACGCGCAAAGTTAAAAGAAAATATTGTTTAGCCAAATTAGACATGCATTGTTGATTTTTCTACATATATGCCTGTATGTCTGAATAAAATGTTAAAATATTAAGAAGCGCAAAAGACTTACATGAAAAGTCATTTTGATTTAATCTCGACTTAATATCTATCTTTCAAATCAATCCTCTTTACAAATATTATTCGACAGAAACCGTCTGTAATTCCATATAACACATCTATATGAAGTTTGAGTTTAAAACTATTTAAATCTGATTAAAATACTTATTTGAAAGTCATGTGCTTTTTAAGTACTCATTGGAGCTGAAACGGAAACAACTTATTTTTACATGCGTTGACATTTAACACTATATAATGTATGAGACCATATGATCCTAAATTGTCACATGTAAATGATATATTGTCATGATTCATATGCTGATCTAAATTTGTATTACTTCTCAACCTATTTTCAAACATGTGCCAAATACGACTTTTTTTTGCCCTTTTATCTAAAAAAAATTTTTATTTCTTGTATGACAAAACGAGTAATGTACGCTTATATACAGGAATGTATCACCTATTTGAAAATTATGCGTGACCTTGACACAAAAAAATAAACGTATCATAGCAAACTTTTGCAAGCCATACTTTTATTATATACTTATAAATGAAATATTGAGAAATATTGATGAAATAAAATGCGTATTTTCATTTTCCGTATTTTCACTGTAAAAATTTATTTTTCACTGCAGTGAAACATATTTTCCGTATTTTCACTGGTGTCTTGCCGGACTACTTTCTTTTAAATTCTGCCAGTACACAAAATTTAAGGGAAAGTCTTTCAAATTTTATAGCAAAAAAGAGAAAAATGTATATAATAAACAGAAAATTCAAGTTTTTTCTATAAATACATGATTTATTTTCATCTTGTGGCATGAAAATTACCATATTTCACTCGTGGCTACCGCCACTCATGAAATATTTATTTTCATACCACTCGATGAAAATAAATCATGTATTTATAGAAAAAACTTGAATATCCTCTATTTATTTTTCTCTTCAAATTTCCATATTTCTCATCAGAACTGTTAATTTTATAAACTTTTAACTATTTAATTGCCGTAACAGAATATGTTTTTCTGTTCAATGGTAAAGCGTGACTTCATTTTAGCGGGAAATATAGTATTTTTGGACAAGGGTAACAGTCTGTTGGCGAGGGGAAACAGACTGTATAACTTAAGGCTGTAAAATAATTGATATGCGAAGGAAAATGAACATGGTTGCTCTATCAAATATCGTTCTTGTTTGAATCGACTTGCGGCATTTCAAAATGTGCAAGCATGTAGACACTTGGGGTTAGATCCTGCCCACCAACGTGATACGCCCCTGTAAACACTCTATCAAAAATATTATAATATTTAAACATCAGACATCGGAATGGAACATCCGTTACAACGTAGTCTCAAGTCTCAATGACTTGATGGTAAACAATATTTTTCATGTATGTAAAAATTGTTTGAAAACCAGTTTTATTGTTGTAACGGATGTCCCATTCGTGTTTAAATATTATTAAATAAGATATTTTTGGTTGTTTACGGGGGACTATCACGTTGGGGACAGGATCTACCCCCCAAGTGTCTTTGTAAGCATTTATTCAATTGATAGGAGTTGGTATAAAATACCAGGACATGTCCGAATACTATTACACTATAAGAAGAACATGTCCTTATTAAATATTGTCAAATAAAACATATTTTCTTTATAATAAACCTTCAATTTGTCCTTTAATTGAATGAAATTTATGAATTACATAAATTTTAAAGAAAATAAGTGCCTCACGTGCTTCGATTTTCAATTTTCGAAGAAATCCCGGGAATGACTTTTATATAGTCAGTGTCATTAAACGCTTGATTATATACTTGTTAATTAATGGTAGACAACTCTCATTACTATTCTATTTCAACATGTTGACAGTTGTCTCCAATAGTTTAAGCAATAAGTTTAATCTTGTCAATTTTCTTGTTGTTTTATTTTATTCATTTAATTTATTTTTATTAATTCATTTATATATATTTATTTTTTTTCTTATCTTTTTTTTTTATTTTATTTATTTATTTATTTATTTTTTTTTTTTGGGGGGGGGGGGGGTCTTTGTTTGTCTGTTATTTAGTTGCATGTTATATGTGCACAGATTTAGTAACTTGAAATCATACCAACTGTTCTGATTAAAGTTATTGTAGCCGAAAAATGTGCCTACAGTAGTCACTACTGACATTATATATCTGTCCTTCCAAGAAGTGCCTGAAGTAATAAAAGGGATGCGGGGGTTTCCTCTACCAGAAAAGCTAAAATAATAGCCATTTAATTTTAACAAAGTGTCGGGGTGATTTCAACAAAGGGCCTACATGATAAGATATTTGTTTTGTTCATTGGTCAGGTTCTGGTAAAAGTTTTAAACCTTTTTATGAAACTCAAAGCTTTCTTGAAGAAAATCGAAACATTATTCTACCCTCCTGACTTTCTTCCATATTTAACAATGTTTGTATCTGATTTTCATGCAGTCTTCGTGAAGATTTTCTTTCCGTCGATGGTTCTTGTGTGTCCAAAACATACAAAACGTATTATACGGGACTAAAACAGAAATTTTCCACGAAATCTGACAGGAAAAAAGATGCTGAATATTAAAGAAAAAAAAAACTTATTTGATCATTGCGATTTGGCTCCAAAACATCAGCTGTCATATATTATTGGATACTGAACAATATTTAATTGCTTAAAAGGGGTGGTGAGAGAGGGTAACGTGTAAGGTATATGCATTAGGTGTAAATTTAAAACTAATAAAATTTAATGATCCTCTAGATGTTGTTTTATTTTCATTTTTAGATTTCATTTCAATTAGATTTTAGATCATGTTATATATATATCCAATCAGTAAATGCAAGTGCAATTTTGTACTTAGAGATTATATGAACATCTATTACCAGATAAGTCACATTTAACGAAATCCATTTCGGACTAAGCAATTTATTCCGGTTTTGCGCTCCTTTCTTATGGTAAAATAAAATGAAAAGCTGGTTGGTCCGCGTTCGAATTTACACAGATGTCCAGAGTTGGATAAAACGGCCCTACGTCATCTGATATAAACGTGACGTTAACGGCGTTTGTGACATCTTCATAGTTTACTTCTTCAAGTGGTGCTAGGATACCGATGGTGTAGCCGGCCAATGGTCGTGGTGTCAATGATGTATCCGTTAGAACGAGGTTTCCATTTACTATTTCAACAGAAGACATAGAAACGCTTATAAGACCGTCATAGTTTAGGTCACTGTTCTCCGGACATCTGGCTTCGTAGCATTTTGTGCTCGGTTCTTTCGTAGATTCAAAGGTCACTATAAATCCAAGTCCCGTAGAAGTCTCCGCTTTCAGTTTCGGTGTATATGATACTAAATCTTGAGGTGTGGCCTCTTCATTACCCTCCGTGAAAACTCGTATTTTAAAGAAACATGGGGGAAACGTAAAGATAATGTCTATGTTATACCAAGTTTCGGTTTCAATGTTGACCCAGTCTGCAGGAATTGATTGTCGTTTCCGGGATTCTGGTACAATTTCTACTGGAGCCCATCTACCAACCGTGGTTTCAAGTTTCCAAAACTTCATGCCGGTATTAGACTGAAACAAAACCGGTCTGGATAGTTGCAAGCGTTCGTCGGATGCAGTACTGAAGCTAAAGATAACAATACCATCGGTTACCAGACGTTGTCCATCTGTTGTAACGAATTCACCTTGTGTTGTTCTTTCATTCAAACTGTCAGGGCCTATGAATGTTATTCTCGTTTTAACCATGCCATTGTAAGCAACCCCGAAAGGACTTTCAAATGAATCCGGTCTAATTTCAATAAAGGAATTTCCAGCCAATGGATCTTGCGGGTTATCAGACAGGGATAACACGATCTCTGCAGTAGAGTCTATTTCAAATGGCTCGGCTTTCTTTATCATAAAAAGCTCTACGTAAATAGAATCTTGAAAACCAACAGGTACCCCTATTACTTTAACAGCTTCAAAGTAATCGCCGTTTTCGTCGATTGCCCTTATTACAAATGAAAGGACGTCAGCTGGTCTTTTTACTTCGAAATTACCATCTGTTCCAGAAAATCCAGCCAGGTTTCCGTCCACGTAGATAATCATATTCCCCAAGGGTTCGTCTGTGGCCGAGTCTTTGACAATACCAATTACACTATTAGCCTTACAGCATACGCATCTTAAAACGTAATCGTACGCTATCACTCCAGATGCACCACAGTTTGCCGTACGGTTTTCTGTTTCAGGACATATGTAGCCATCATCGGGACAACGTTTGTGTCGTCTGGTATTGGTAGAGCATGTTCCGGTTTGGCACGTGCCAACGTCTACCTCGCAAGAGGGCGCTAATGATTGCATTTCCGGTATTCGGTCTGTTGGCTCTGGACTTCTGGCTAAATAAAAAATAATATGAAATTAGGCAAAGCCTATGAACGGGGAAGTTGGTAAAAAAATCCTTTCATTTTTTTCCGTTTTAAAGATGTCATTCGGTATTTTATTTCACCGCTTGTTCACCGAACACCGACCCTTTATTACATTCAAAAGTTGCCGATTTGTCGTTGACTTATCGGAATACACGTCTTTTTTTTGAATTACCCTTGTTAAAATGGCGGCCCCCAAATAGAAATCATAAATGTTTATTGAATACATATAGAATTATCTAAGTACGATCTTAAACTAATTGCTTTTTACATTTGGACTTTCTTTAAATATGTTCACGGCAAGGTTGCCATTAGGCCGGGCAAGGCAAAGCACCGGACCCGCGCAAGGCCCGGTTCTTTGCTTCCCAATATAAAGAAATAAATGAAGTTGAAAACAAGCAGTATGTAGCTGAATTTGATAGGGATATTAGTAAAATAAAAAGCGAATAAAACATGAAATGTATCTTTAGTCCAATATGGACTTGAAAACTACTCGGCTAATTTACAAAATACATCATTTTGTTGATGGATATATGTTTGTCAATTTGCATGCATATCCACGTATGTGTGCGAGTTTGTAAATAAAATAAAACCATACCATATTGCATCCACCAGAATTCCTTTATAATACAGAAAGTATCTGAAAGAGAAAACGTATATATACAAAATGTATCATAGTGACAATCTTCACATCGCAACAACTTTCTTAATGTAGATATGACATAAGCCGTTCCTTGTTACATATCAATTTAACTTGCATTTGAATATAGTGCAACCACGACATAGCGGCCTTTTTTAGAGCAATACCTCTTTACAGCAACACAGGTTAAATTATTTCTATTATTTTTATACAATATTCAGGAATATGAGCTTTGCTTGAGATTAGAACTTACCTTTAAATCCGTCACATGGAACCAACATTACCAAGGTAAGTACAAATACTACCTTTTCAAAACGCATGTTCACTCGTTTGTACCCTGTGAACAAAACATTATTGATTGTATTATTTCTGTATTAATAAAGAATTAGACAGTATGGACTTCTTTTAATTTTGGGCTGAAATACTACACTCTATGATTGATTGTATTTTTTCTGTATTAGAAGAGTAAGACGTATGGAACCTTTTTAATTTTTTAACCGGAACACCACTTTCTGTGTATTTGTGCTGCGGTGTGATTTTCACAATCTAAAATTAAACTGCAACTTTTTAGGTCTTTCCGTCAAAATTCGAAGTGAAGGATTTGTATTTTTAAACATATAGTAAAATGTTCCGAAAATATAACATCTCTGAATATATCATTTCATTTCTTGTTATTAGAGATATAAGATTAAAAACGTTGCAGACAATTTATTATTATTTTGTGACTACCGCAAATGCAAATAGAATCAAACAGATTT